TTTTATTAATTGAAAATTGAAGTTGAAGGACGTTTTTGGTACTTTTTGAAGTTCAAGGATGAATTGGTTCAAAAATAAAAGTTGAGGGACCAATTCAAGTATTTAATCTAAAAAATATATTAGCCATGCATCACTATTCAATTAATCCTTAAATGGAAAAAGTTGAAAGTTGACATCCTTAAATAGAAAATGTTGAAAGTTGACATCATTATTTAGAAAAAAAATTGAAAGTTGACATCCTTATTTAAAAACTGACAAAATTAACATCCTTAAATAAAAAAAATACAAAATTAAAATCCTTATTTGCACTTTTTCGGTATCAAACGCTGAATTGGGGTTTGACAATGTGCATGGAAAATTGGCACTTGAAGAAAGATTTTAACATTCCATCCATATTTTACATGAAAATACTTTAACCATCAAATCATGGTGCTCTTTCTGCATATTATGGCAAAAATTGTATTTATTATATAAAATTTTAAAAAATATTGATTAATGACATCATCAATTAAATCATATAAATTAATTAATTTAACTAAAATTAAAAATCAAATCAGGTTGACCTCCAATTTAGTCTTTAAAACATTGATAGGAGGCTTCCAATGGAATCCACCTCCAATTCGATGACAGTATGAACTACGGCCACTAAAAATTACTTTAAAAATTAATTAAATTTTTTTTTTAATATCAATTACTTAAATAACTCAAGTTATTTATTTTTATTAAAAATAAAATGTGTAAAAATAAAAGAACCTGAATTTAAATTATATGACATATATAAATAAAATAAAATAAAAAATAAAAAATAATTATATTTTATTATATAATCAAGATAAAAAAAAAATTTCGCTAACAAATTTTTATATTTTCATAAGGAGAAAATTTTACTTCCCAAATAAATTTCTTTTTAAACTCCACCAGCCACCCTACAAAACCCTAATAAAAACCACAAATTCAGCCGCCTGAGTCACTCACCTCTCTTGCCAGCCAGCCAAAGACGGAAAACCTCCTCACCTTCCCCGTAATCTGATCACATGTCCTGCAGTAACTGCCGTGCGAGTTCCCTCTGCTCTCTTCGTCGGTCAATCTCCAGCACGATTAGTATTTCAACGACTATCATCATTACTACCCATTAAGCTTTCCACCTCCATCTGCACAGGTTCTCGTCGAAATCAATTCGACTCGATTTTAGCTTCTTAAAAAGATATCTTTTCAAGCTCAATCAGAGCCAAGAGTTCTACTTTGTTATCCGTGTGTGGAATGGCGACTCTGCTGAGCTACAGTGGGTGCTTGAGAGAATCTGCTCTCAAGTCTCTGCGTCCCAATTGCAGCGATTACCAGAAAAGGTTTATTTTTTTCTTTCCATTGGATGTTATTACTTCGCTGGATTCTAAAGGTTTTATTATATTAATCATTGCCTTTATTATTATTATTTTTTGGGTGCCAAATGATCTGCTTTTGTCTGCTTTTGTTTGTTTATCGTTTGGGAAGATATGAAAGCAATTGCTTTATTATTAATTTTCTATGTATATAATAGTTTTATGGGGTGTTTGTTTGAGTTCTGGCCTAGTCTTTATCTAACTGAAATCAAAGGGTTGCAGTTGCTTGCACTTGTGCAGCTGATATAAGTCATCTTTCTTATTACAAAAGTTGATTTGGGTTGTCTGCATATCATTTTATCTTTTTGAATCAGGAGGAATGCAAAACTGAGATCCCCACAAGCAGCTGTAATGCCCAATTTCCATCTTCCTATGCGCAGTTTTGAAGTCAAAAATAGGTACTTAATCTATATCTCGATTACTGCTTAGAATCTGGTTGTTTTCTATATGGAATATGAATGCCTATGAAGTAAGCTTGTCACCTTATTGGAGGATGTTGGAATGTGTATGAGAACATTGTGCTAGTGCCTTTTGCCTTGGTCTCTATTAAGTCAAACAGTAAGTTATATTATTAGCATCTCTTTTTCACTCCTTATGGTGATTTATTGAAACATTAAAATCAATAGCCCCTTTAACCTGACTGCTAATATTATGTTTGGGGCTGGTAAAGGCATAATACATTCAACATGTAAAATGCCACAATAGATATCTTGTGTGACAGCTTTGTTGTGTGGATTGTGAATAATTGAGAACAGAGTCTCAGTTGAAAGTATCATTTTCTATTTGAAAGGTTGTTTTATTGATAATTTTCCATTCCTTTAACTCTGCTAACAGAACATCAGTAGAAGATATAAAGTCTCTTAGACTGATAACGGCTATTAAAACCCCATATCTACCTGATGGAAGATTTGATCTTGAAGCCTATGATGACCTTGTGAATATGCAAATTGAAAACGGTGCAGAAGGAGTGATTGTTGGTGGCACAACTGGTGAAGGCCAATTAATGAGTTGGGATGAACACATAATGCTTATTGGTCACACGGTCAATTGTTTTGGTGGATCAATTAAGGTGATTGGCAACACAGGGAGCAACTCCACAAGGGAAGCAATTCATGCCACCGAACAAGGTTTTGCTGTTGGAATGCATGCAGCGCTTCACATCAATCCTTACTATGGCAAAACCTCTCCGGAGGGTTTAGTTTCTCACTTCAGTAGTGTGCTGCCAATGGGTCCTGCCATCATATACAACGTCCCATCACGAACTGGTCAAGATATTCCCCCACCTGTGATCTACACCGTGGCACAGAGTTTGAACTTGGTTGGGATTAAGGAGTGTGTTGGAAATGACAGGATCCAAGAATATGCAAATAATAAAATTGTGGTATGGAGTGGGAATGATGATCAATGTCATGACGCTAGGTGGCTCCATGGTGCCACTGGTGTTATTTCTGTTGCTAGCAACCTCATTCCAGGATTGATGCGGGAACTGATTTTTGGAGGAATGAACCCTTCACTGAATTCAAAAGTTATGCCTCTAATTGAGTGGCTCTTTTATGAGCCAAATCCCATTGGCTTAAACACAGCTCTTGCGCAATTGGGGGTTGTCAGACCAGTTTTCAGGTTACCTTATGTGCCTCTTCCTCTAGCCAAGAGGGTTGAATTTGTTAATCTTGTCAAGGATATTGGGCGGGAGAATTTTGTGGGAAAGAAAGATGTTCAGGTTCTTAATGATGATGATTTTATCTTGGTGGGCCGGTATTAGTTTTCTAGTTTGTTTCATGAGAAATAGAACTCATGGTGTCCTATTTAGTTGTTTAAATGATGCCTGTACCAGCACCATTTAGTTGCCATCCATGAAAAATATGGTTCTTGTTTTTGTTTGGACTATTTCTCTGTACCTTTATGTTGTCTCTTGTTCGCAGGTTTAAGCATTCCGGAAGGAATCGCGCTGATTTTTTCATGGTGTGTTAAGAATATATTTTGGCGGCATGCCTGTATCATGTTACATTATTCTGAGAGAATGTTTCCTCTCTTTCTCTCTCTTTTCTCTCCTCCTTCTCTCTCTTTTATTTATTTTTTTTTTCTTCCTTCCCTGGAACCCCAAAGGTCTCATGGAATCTATGTTAGTTTTGCATCTTGTAAAGAGGCACATAACCCTTTTATTGCTGAGAGTGCACTTTGAATGGAGATATAGAACATCTACCTTATATTTCCACTCTAAACTTTTTTACTGAGATACATAAATGGAACTAGAACCCATTCCCACCCCAAATTTATAGAAAAGAAACCTGATTTAAGCAGCTAACGAAGAAAAGATCTGAGAAAAAGAAAAGAAAATGAAATCTAATGACTCCCCTGGCTGCCAACATACTAACTGATGTTCTAATTCTGCATGGTGTAACGAAGCATTCTAGTAGCCTAACACAACTGGTTATTGCTGTTTTAAGTAGTCTGGGAGTTACATAGCTTCTTCTGTAGCTGAGCCAACAGGCTTTGGTTTTCTTGGTGGAGAAGTAGTGCTTTCCTCCTCAGCTTCTCGTTCTCCTCTCTGATGCCCTGGTTCTCCATATACAGTTTCAAATTCTTGATTTCCATCTTCGCTACTCCATCCTTCACCATCATCTTACTTGCTCCCACTGCTCCCCTCCTCGACCTTCTCCACCTGTTGCATTACGAACTATTTATGTAATAGAAAACATAGAGAGGAATGAACAGATAATGGATTGTAGATGAGGGAAAAAGGAAAACCTCTTCAGATGGCGAACACGAACATTGTGCCTCTTGGACGAACGTCTACGGGAAAAAGAGTAGGAAAAATCACTACTAGAAATCGGGGTTGAAGAATTCATGCACATAATTTCCCTCGTAAGGTTAAATTTCTGCAGAAAAGTAAGAGAAGGAAGGATTCCTTGCTGGTGACTCTGAAAGTAAAAACCAAGACAAATATATGTAGTATGTATGGGGCTCCCTGTGTCCTAATATGAGGATCAAAGTTGCATTATATAGCGGAGAAATAATGTCTATCTGCAAATGTAAAAGGAAATGGAAAAGAGAGAGGCTTTCGAAGTAATGATGACAAAGGGGCAGCAATAGATGAGGATTAATGCAGAGACGGAAATAAGATGGGAAAAAAAAAAGGGGGATTTCTCTTATTTTCCCAGCTCTTTTGATTGCTTTCTCAGAACCGTGAGTGTGGGGTTGGACGGGTTGGGGGTGGTGGAGGCACATAGAAAACGACTATTCCCTTTACATCTTCAATTCACCTTTTGAAAAATTTAAAACTTTCCCCCTTGAGTTTCCTTGGCATTAACTCCTAGTCCTCTTCCGTTTCAAAACTGAACCTAATTTGGACCATTTTCATGCCCTATGATCAAATAAACCAATAGTTGTTTGGGGGGTTATCATTGCAGTAGACATTAATCTCGGGCAAAGTTTTCAAACTTGGCTAGCTGTGCTTCATTTCATCTAGGGTTCATATTATATTAATTACTCCCAAGAAAAATTAAAAGCATAGAGGGTTTATCTAGGGATCACCCAACACGGGGATAATTAACCTGTTTCATTGCTCTTTGTATAGGAATGGCAGATTTCTTTGACAAAGACAGCCACCAAGAAGTCAAATTGGAAGGGCTATGTTCCTCTAATCATAACTAACGAATTGATTAATTCAAATGAATCTATAAAGTACATATTGCTTACATAAATTTTTTCGATAACTAAGTAAATACGACAATTAATTTATTTTAATGATTGTATTAAAGATTCAATTTTGAATTTTGTTGAGATTTAAAACAAATAAGGGTATAACATTTTAAAATATTTTTCATTAAGATTTATTAAGGCTATGATTTTTTTTACTAATCAAGGCCACTTTTCAAAAGTTTCTAATTGAATATATGATTTTTGTAATTTTTTTAAAAAATAAAATAAATATGCATAGTCATATTCTTGATTAGAAATTTTTTTTTAAAATAATAACTTTAATTGATAAAATTGCTAAAGTTATATATTTAATTACAAAATTTTGAAAAGTGACAATATTATTACTAAAGAAAAAATGTCATATTTTTAATTAAAAAAGTTTTATAAAGTTGTGTTTTCATTTATGTCAAATCTTGAATTTTACCCCAAAAAAAAAAAAAATAGTTTTAGAAGAAGTTAGCTAGAGAATTAGGGTTATGATATGGTCAAAAAATTGCAATAAAGTTGGGTATTGAATTAAATATGCGTTTGAAAAGCAGACACATGCGATACTATTTGTTGCTTTGTTTACCTTTTAAGAAGAAAATGTTTTGCGTCTTAGACTCCCCAAAGTTCTTCTCATTGAGTCTGAAACTTCCACTTCCTCATCCCCCCTTGCCGTGCTTTAGGTGTCAGAAATTTAGCCTATAATTCATTATTGTAATCATGCAATAAAGAAAAAGTATTTGTTATAATCAATTGAAAAGGATTAGCATTAGAATGTCAATGTCCAAAAGTCCAATTGAGATTTTGGAAGGAAGACAAGTCACGTGCAAGTCACGTGTGAACCTTGATTGTGGGGTCATGATAAAGAGATAAAATGGTGGGATGTTGAGGGTGTAGTCAATGTGGTTAGGTTCCTCTTTTGTCCCTTTTCTAAGTGTAATTGAGTACCGAAGCCATGCTCATTTATTTGGAAAATGAACCACCATTTTGTCCTCTTCTTCGTCTTCTTCATTATCCACAAGATAGTATTATGATGAAAAAAAGATGGGTTGTGCATGAATCTGAATCATGATGCTGTTTTGAAAAATTAATGGTTGAGCGATTTCGATGAGGACTAGTGCCACTACCACTAGCCTACATTTATTTCCTGTATTATCACATAACATCAACCAAGTACTCATTCCATAATTTGGGATAGGTTGAGGTAGTCAACAATAATATGAAACGCCCTATATACATTCCTAGCATATCATCTACTTTCCCCATGTTTGGATTTCATTTTCTTTCCCTACACTTATTTTTTTGCCAGGAATATTAAGCCAAACTGAGAAATAATACTGAGAGACTCACATGCACGATGCAATGTTGATAAGGATGAATGATTGCTTCTGGAGAGTGCCTCTCAACGTCCACTGTGTGGTCCAGAGCACCACCGTCTCTACATCCAGGTTAGAAATCTACAAACTTCCCTGATCTTCAACTTCTCTTATTGGGTGTAAAATGTCCTTAATGCTGGTCTATGGCTCCCTTTCTTATTTCTTCTATTATAATTATGACAACTAAAAACCTGAGGTTATAAGATAAGTAGCACTTACCAACTTGCCCGTTTCTACTTGTGGCCATTTTGAAGGGACGGTTGAGTTGCATTCAATACCCATATGAAGAGAAAAAGTAATATTGCTTGGGCATTTGCTTTGGTTGCAAATCAAACGTTTCTGTTCTCATAATTCACTGCATTTGCCATTTACGTTGATCAATATTTGAGCAACATAAAGCCATCAAAATATTGGCAAGATTGTCCATGTGTGATTCGTGGGGAAAGGCAGAACGACCCTCCTCTCATGTTGAATACATGTGGATCTGGAAACCCCAAGAAGAAAACGAAATATATATGTGTGTGTGTGTGTGTGTTATCAAAAACCCAGAATTGAGATTGTGTGTGTGTGTGTGTGTGTGTGTGTTATCAAAAACCCAGAATTGAGATTGTGTGTGTGTGTGTGTGTGTGTGTGTTATCAAAAACCCAGAATTGAGATTTGGGGCAAGAAGAAACTAGCTTCTAATTTGCAGGATAAAAAGCTTAGTGATAAAAACAAACAGGTTCTTCTACCAAAAAAAAAAAAACAAAAAAACAGGTTCTGTAAATATCAACACATGCCTGCTAATGCCATGCAACAGAGTCTTCTTGAGTAGCTTCCTCATCCTCATCCATTGGATCATCATTCTGTTGACCATCATCAGCTTCTTTGCTAGCCTCTATTTCCTCATCAGAAATTGAAATTACGGTTTTTACTACATTATCATCATCACTTTCAACACAATCCTCAGTATCTGAGTCTGAAGTAGAGCCCTGGTTTTTCCTCTGTTGATCAAACTCCTGCGTGGCACCGACAAATTGCTGTCTTAAATCAGGAGCAACTATTCCAATCATCTCACTTAGTGCTCCATGCTCATGATTCCCTCTGGCAGCAGCAGCCTCAGAAGATGGTGTACTTTCAATTTCAGCTACCAGACCACCGGAGTCATGCACACCTTCATCATTTTCCCCAATTTTTGGAGATCCATTATCTCCATGGACAGTAGGAGCGGTGCTGCAAGCCCTACTCCCGATAACTTCAGAAGCTAAAAGGTCTGCTGTCTTGATTGTACATCCTTCTGCGTTCTCCATGGACTTTTTATACTCCATACGACAATTTGATTGACAATTATGTGTAGTTTCTGGACAAGTTCGAACATGCTCATAAGTTTCATGCACATGGGTTTCATCATCCAGCTGCATTCTGTCCCCACCTAAAGTTCCACATTTTTTCAAATCAATATGCCGTTCACCTTCAAGTCCTAAGCTTTCAGTTTCAAGTACATGTTCAGTTCCAACTGGACCTCCTTTATGAACAGGAGTTCTGCCAGTACCATCTAAATGAGAATGAATGCCACGTTTAACCAGACAGTCACCACTCGTTAAGTCTGCCTCTTGGGTGTTTTCACCTTCTTCCTGACTTCTTATACCACAGTGATGCTTCTGAGTAACACTGGCTTCATCACTAGAAATATCAATTCTCTGGGCTGAACTAGTAGAGGCTGCCTTCTGCACGCATTTTCCATGACATGCTGTTGTTTCTTTTTTACTTAGTAGAGTTCCACTAACATTTCCATTCAGTACATTAAGGTCAATATCAATAGACGTATTCTCATTATTATCCTCATCTTCCAGTGTTCTCTGCATTGCCTTGAGTTGTTCCTGCTGCTTTGCATAGAGTATAGAGATTTCCTCAGTGGTTGAGTAAAATGCCCTAAGCTGTGTTTCTCTGCAGATCAACTACATGCGTCATCATGCAGCACTATATCAAATCATAAGTATTATTCAGAAGTAAAGAACAGGAAATCATGCACTAATGACTGAAATATTTTAATAGAAGCTTGATTAAAGAAATGCTTATCACTTAGAATATTGCCAGTATCAAACTTCAAACATGATCAGCACAATTACGATCCAATATTTACCATAACACCAAAAATAAATTAACAATCATTTCTCTGCAAATCTCACCGAAGCATAATTCTTTCCCTGGTGCCTTTCAGCTGCCTCCTCTCACAATCAATGTCCTGCATCGCAGCACTTATTGCAAGTTCAAGGGCAGAAACTTTAGCCCATGCTTCTTCTTGGGCTGCCTGCTACCGACAGCATAAAAGAATTCAGCTTAAAATGGTAACTTCAGCAAGATGCTTGCACAAAAATTTTCTATTGCCCTATGATTTGAACAAACATATCTAGCATGTTGGTCAACTACCTTTTACAACATATTATACATTCAGATTTTTGTTTTTATCTAGATTGTGAATGCACAACCTACACAAACAGCCATCTGAAATGCAGGCAAGCTATTGGACGTGACAACAAAAGAATCAGCAATTATTTGAGTCTCAGTGAGGATGTTTATGAGGCAGTGAGTACATATCAAATCATTTACATCATTGGAATGGTGGAAGAAGAAGAAGTATATCAATTTATACCTTTTCACTCTCAAGTTCTTTCCTCAGTCCTTTCATTTCATGGTCAAGTTCTTCCACTCTCTGCTCAAAAACGAAGGATGTACAATAAATCAGCTTCAGCAACTATTTGCACATGTTTTTGTATTTAAGCAGATATTTAAAGACATCGGTATTACTTTTCTTGCATTTACAGAGGCATGTCTCTCTTCACAAACTTGTGTTTCTAACTGGCAAACTTTATTCTCAGAATTAACCAATTTTTGTCTGGCGTCTTCCTGCAGGAGAAAAAGAAATTGAGATAAATAATAATAATAATAATTAATAAATAAATAAATTTGACAAACTTGACGAAGGCAATTGATATTACCAGTTTGGTCGCTAAACTTTCCACTTGCAAAGAGCTCATTCTCACTGAATCCTATCAATATGAAAGCAGAACATGTCATTTCTCAAATCCTTTAAAATATATCAGACATGAAGAAGATAAATGTGGCTAAAAGGATCAATATCTTTCTGACCTCAAGCTTATTCATTACTTCTTGCTGCTCTCTTTCTCGTTTTAAAGCTACATCTGAATGTTGTTTCAGCTCCTCTTGAGCCTCTATCTGAGCTCTTTCTACTGCTGCTTTTAAATCAGCACCAGCCCTTTCTTGTTCTTCTCTTCTCTGATCTCGTTCTTCATGTAACTGTGCCTTGAGTTCAGCTATCGACGCCTTCTGGCTGAAATATCAAGAAATAAGGTGAATTACCATATTTTCACATTTTCTGAGGTCATCTCCTCCACTTGTGAACACTGACTTCTCAAACTTGAGAACCAATGGAAAATGGTTCCTACCTTTTCATTATTTCATTAGCTTCAGCACATGACTGCGTCGACGCACTAAGCCTTTCATTTAGGTCATCTATAACATGCCTTTGTTTAGCCAGCATTCTAACCACATCTACCGCCTCCTTTTGCCTTATATCTAACAGATCACGCAACTTGTTGAGTTCATAAAAAAATGTCCTTACAATTTTGTATCTCATCTCTTTGATTTCCTGCAGAATTAGACCCTTATCTGTTAAGAGACAAAGATCAGATAGCAATAGAAAGTAACAATCAAAGACAAGAACAACAAAAGTAAAATGAAAATAGTGGCATAAAAAACACAGAGGTAACAATAATAACTTTAACTATGGATGGACACTTTATCACCCTTTGCAATCAAGGATGCTAATAATACAAGGACTTAGTTCATCAGAAAAGCATACACTTTCATTACATTCCATGGTGGCATGACTCTCATTGTGCAGTGTATCAATAGTAAGGACCTCGCTTTCCAATTGCTTCCTCAAATCCTGCACGCAGCAATATATAGCATTGTCTGTATCATTGTCAAACAATACCTGATGTAACAAGCAACAGAATCATGAATTTTAAGTGTACCCTATTTGACTGCTGAAGGCTCCGAAAATCATCCAGGGATATAGGACCCTCTGGAGCACCAATACCAATACCTTTCAGTCTCTTGTTCTCAGAAACAAATTCATCTGCACATGGAGGAAGAAATAATATGCCACTTGAAGTTTATAAGGAAAGCATATTTAAGAAAAGAAAAAGATCACCCATCAGTATATTTCACCAATAAAAAGGAGAAGCAGGTAAATTGGGAGAATTAATTATCTGAGGTTCGGTCTTTTATATGAACTTTAGGTTGGAGACTTGAGCATGTATTGACAACTGACACTGAGTTAAAAAACACATGAAACCATGATCATGTAGACTCCACATGACTTGATGAACGTGGATCCCCAGCCACTTGGGATGTCATAGTAACCAAATTTAAACACAAATCACAGAGAATTAGTGGCAGACAGGCAGATATACCTGATTGTCTTTTTCCAGCAGCACCCTCAGTTGAGGGGGCAGACCTATGAACTTCTCGATAGACATATGCAAATGCAAGTTCTGCAACAACGGAGTTACATCATCAGGTCACTCTCAACATGCTTTATAATCCATAAAATGGAGTGGGGGAGGGGGGAGAAAGGTTATTTGTAAGCTATAATAAAAATGAGATAATGAAAACTTTTATAATCCCACAACTATAAAATTATATGAACAAATAAATAAAGTCAACAAGTCTTAAACAGAAACTCTTGTAGAAAATAGAGAAGATTTGGGTTTCTAGTTATAATTTTCCTTCTCATACATTCCCTATTCTAACTGATCCTACAATTTCCTAATTTCATTAGAGATAAAAAGACAAGGGACCAGGATCACTTCTCATACAAAATAAAAAGATGAATGCTTGGAGGTGCAGATCAGTATTTACCATGCTGAGGAGGAGCAGAAAATGATATAATATCTCCATGTTGTATTTTCATTTCAGGGCTATTCTTCTTCAACTTCTCCCAGTTAAGATACGTCCCATTAGTGCTGCAGAAGCCAAAACCCCATCAGAATGTATAAAAATTCAAGAAACAATACAGAGTTTAACCAGCGAAACCAACCTAGTATCTTTTAAGAAGACAGACGCATAACAATTGGATGAATTCTCTGCATCATCACTTGCAACCCTCTTCCTATATATTGTGCAATGATACGCGCTAACCGCAGTTGATTCAATCTGAAAATGCACATCCTCTACGTTTCGGCCAATGCAATGTTCATCCGCAGTTAAAAGCATGTTCATACCCTGGTAAATGATTGTTTCATCAGCCTTAGCTTTCGTTGCATGATAACATACATAGTCCACAAAAATCCTGATAAGTAATGGGGATTGGATTCAACCAGATGTTAAGTTATTAACCAAATTTGTAAAAGGAAATCATTGAATCAAAGCTCTTAATCAAAATACTAGCTAAATTCTACTTTAAAGTTAAACTAACTAAGTAGCTAAGTGGAAATTAACCAAATTTATATTGCCAAAAACCATTATTTAATAAAACAAATTTATAAAAGGAAATCAAGTTTTCACCACATGTCAAAATTTCAAAAAGGCAAGCTCCACCGCATAACCATTAGAAAAAAGGGGAATGCTTTCTTACAATTTTTCGTCCTACAATTTTTTTATTTATTTATTTATAACTTTATAACTTTATCGTATTATTAAAATAATTAATTTTAAATTTTAAAATAATTAATTTTAATAATTTATATAAAATTTATGATATTAAATAGATCTACTCATTTTAATAACACGTTAAAAGTTATATAAAAAATAAAAATTCTGCCTGTAACTCCACCCTAAAAAAAAAATGATTACACAGAACAAAATAACTCCTATATTGAAAAAAAAAAAAAAAAATTGAAAACACATCTAAAGAAGATCATCGGAGGGTCTCTAGAGTTTAAGTGGGTAACCTTGTGGCGTTTGCGGGCATGGTTAGAAATAGCAGTAAGGACACCCCAAACGTCGGGATCGTAACTTGGGAGAGGCTGAGATGAGATATGGTCTGCAACCGACCTGATGAGAGCAGTGGGGTTGGGAGGCACCTTCGCCGGTGGAGATGCATCGTTCTGCTTAAATTGGGATTGCAGGTACTGTGATACATTGTGTTTTGGGATTAAACTAGATTCTGTACACACATCGATTTCTGATTTTTCTTCCATTAAATTGGCGGGGATTTTGAAACCCTTTATTTTGTTCGTGTGTTTTTGGACAGGAGGAAAGGAGGGTTATTGTGTCTGGTCTGGACTCTTGAGGAGTTTGTCGAGGAAGCCTTGATTTGTTTACGGGTGGT